ACTCGTCTGCTTCTCCTTCTACTCTTCGCCGTCTTGATGCTTTGCACCATACTTGGTTGCGCCTAAGTTCTGGTGCCTTTCGTTCGACTCCCGTCCTTAGCTTGTATGTTGACACTGGCTTTCTGTCTCTCCAGGACCGTCGTGATCGCTACTGTCTTCGCTATCTTGCGCGGTCCTTACAACATCCTTCCTCTCGCCTCTGTCGTGCTTTAACTTTTACCCCTCCTGCGGTTCCTGTTCCTCTTCACCCCCTCCCTCTTTCTGTCCGGTTATCTCGCCTCAAGGATTCTCTTTCCGTTCGTATTTCTAATGTTTCTCCTCGTGTTGTTCCTTCTTTGCCCCCATGGAGAGTCCCTCTTCCGCGGTTTTGTACTTCCTTGACCCGTATCACTAAAGCTTTTACCCCTCCTACGGTTCTAAAATGCCTTTTCCTTGAGCACTTTTCTTCTCACTCCCGCTCCGTTTCTGTCTTCACCGATGGGTCTAAGTCTGCGGACGGTGTTGGCTACTCTGTTGTTTTTCCTGATCGCACTTATGTGTCGCTTACCTCCGGAGACTAGCATCTTTACAGCGGAACTTTATGCTATTCTCTATGCTCTTCGTCTCCTGCTTTCTCGTTGTCAGTCTTCCTTTGTAGTTGTTGTTGACTCTCGTAGTGCCCTCATGGCTCTCGGGTCCTTTAATCCGGTTCATCCAGTAGTTGTCGAGATCCAGCATTGGCTGTTTCTTGTTCACAGTAAATTTAAGTCGGTTGAGTTTTGTTGGGTTCCCAGCCTTATTGGAGTGTCTTTAAATGAGCGTGCGGATGCTGCCGCCAAGGAAGCTGTCCGCTCTTGTCCCATCTCTCGTAAAGGTATTCCATATTCCGACTTTTACCCGGTTATCCATTCCTCCGTCCTTTCCCGTTGGCAGGCTTCTTGGTCGTCTGTTACTGGTAACAAACTACGTACTCTTAAATGTTGTGTTTCCTCGTGGCCGTCCTCCTACCACCGTAACCGGCGATGGGAAACAGCTCTGGCGAGGTTGCGTATTGGCCATACTCGCTTAACCCATGGTCACTTGATGGAGCGCCGCCCTGCTCCTTATTGTCCTAGTTGCATTGTCCCTCTTACGGTCGTGCATGTCCTTCTTGAATGTCCTGACTTCCAGGACGAGCGTGTGTCTTGCTTTCCGACCGCCCCTCGCGGTCACTTGTCCCTCAATAGAATTCTTGGTGACTCGGATACTTTTGATATCGTTCGCCTTATGCGTTTTTGTTCTCGTATTGGCATCTTTGGTGATATTTAGCGCCCTTTGATTATTCTGCGCATTTGATGGTGCTACATAGCCTTCCCGGTTTGGTACCTTATTTTGATAATTACTTGCTTACTTGTTGTCTTGTCATTTTTTCCTTGATTTGATTGTTTATATTGATTTCAATTTCGTGTTATGTTCTTGTCTTGGTGTATGCTGTGTTTCTCTTGCGTTTCTCCAGGTTTGTTTATTGTTGTACTAAGCTGTCGGTCCTTCTGGTCGGTGTTTTTTTGTTTTGTTTTGTTGTTTCCTAATGTTGTTTTTATTGTAATTTATTGTATTTCCATGCATGCTTGCATGTGAAAATAAAAATGAAAAAAAAACTTCCCTGGTTTCTCAGAGACGGACGTAAGAAGTCTAGTCCTTGGGTTGTACTATATTTTGTTATTTATTACTAAGGTATGTATTTTAAGAGTAATGCTGTTGTAAAAGGATCAGGCTAATTAGATATATCAGTAGGTTAGGTGATAGGTAACTTTGGGTTACTGAGGATCATAGAATATTATTGTGTTGCAGTACGTTACAGATTCCTCACAATACAGATTCATAAATACAAATTTATGTATCATACCTCCATACTGTTACTTAGATTAGTGTACTACTGCGTGGGGTTGGAGCCTGGTGTCAGCTAGTCCAAAGTATTAGCGGTTCAGGATGTGATAGCTGTGAATAAGTTCTTGAATTTCATTGATGTGACTAGTTGAGCTGTGTGTCGAAGCTCTTTGTTCTGATGAAAGTTTCAGTTGTATACTAGTGTATATCGGTTGTATAAAGGGAATGTTAGTTATCAGTGTTTTATGGTGAACTGTTTATGTTTCAGTAAACTGGGGTTGTTTTAACCAACCTTTTAATTATAAACTTACCCCAGACACTTATTGAAAATTGCCCAGGCTTTGGTTGGCCAGCGATGCTGTGGCTCATGAGGTCATGACGGGCAATAACAAGGGAAGACTCGAAGTAGCGAAAAAGCTGTCTACAGGAAGGAAAAGAATTGAAGAAATTAAGCAGAGTAAGAAGTTTACGTGTGGCATCCATATGCAGACAATGAGTTACAATAACGTGGCTGAAGATATGATGACCAATCCACACACCAGAAGATGAGGAGACGACGACGTTTAGGTCCATCATGGACCATTTTCAAATCGACTGTGATGGGAGTGAGGGTGTTGTTGTTTTAGATTCAGTTGCTCGGAACAAAAAGTTCCAAGTAGCACGGGTTATGGGGAGCCCGTAAGTGGAGACACTTTGGAACCCTTATCTGTATCAATAGCTAATACTAGAGATCTGGGGATGGGTAGGGGGGGGGGTCTTCATAATGGTTTTCGTGTCGGTCTTGGGTGCTTCTGGAGTCTATGTTGAAATCGACCTTGTGGTCATCCTGGTGGTAGTCTCCGGAGTGGTAGTAGAGGCAGTGAGACTTGCACAAGGGGCCATGATGGGGTCCTGGCCATTGGCCAGGTATAATACGTTCAGTTCGCTGACAAAACGGTAGTTGTCTGGTCCGACAAGCCTCTCCGCTAGTCTAATAAAACCAAGAATAATGCCTGCACTTGATGCAGGGGGAGATGCCAAGAGCCTGTGGGGACTTGGGACGCCATTGTGAAGGCTGGGTCGCCAGGTGCGAGGAGCCACAATTTGGTAGGATGGGAAAATCTTCAGATCGGTTGGCGGGAGCTGAGTGGTGGGTTGAGCGCCTGGTTCTCTGGCTGCGGAGGTAAATGGGTTGTTTCTCTTGGCTTCAACCTGGGCCTTGATGTTTTCATGTCTGCGGGAACAGCGGTAGGAAATTGCGGGGTGATTGCAATCGCAGAGCAAGCAGCGATGGGTTGTTGCCTTGCATATGGAGTAGTGAAGTAGTGATAGTCCAGTGCACACAGGCTACACCTCTGGACTGGGTGCTGACACTTGTTGGTGGGGTGGGAGAACTCGTAGCACTTGAAGCACCGCTTGAGCTCATGGTATCGATCCTTTTTTTTCTTTTTTTTTATTTGTAAGCCGATGCAGTAGAAACCTTGTGTGGTAGCCCGCGTGGCCGCAGCTATTGTGGGAGGTAAAATATAAAAATATATAACTAATATTAGTGTGAGTACTCGCCTATTTGTGCTTGTAGCAGGTTGAGCTCTGGCGCTTTATCCCCGCCTCTCAATCGTCAATCGGCTGGTGAACAGATTCCTGAGCTTACTGGGCTCTATCATACCTACATTTGAAACTGCATGGAGTCGGCCTCCACCACATCACTGCCTAATGCATTCCACCTGTTAACTACTGACAATGAAAACGTTCTTTCTAACGTCCCCGTGGCTGATTTAGGTATTAAGTCGCAACTGTGTCCCCCTTGTTCGCGTACCACTCATGTTAAAAAGTTTACCCTTATCTACTGTCAATTCCTGAGAATTTTGTAGGTAGTGATCATGTCTCCCCTTACTCTTCTGTCTTCCAGTGTCATCAGGTGCATTTCACGCAGCCTTTCTTCGTAACTCGTGCCTTTTAGTTATGGGACTAGCCTAGTGTCATACCTCTAAACTTTTTCCAGCTTCGTCTTGTGCTTGACGAGGTACAGGCTTCACGCTGGGGCCACATACTCCAGGATTGGTCTTACATATGTGGTATACAAGATTCTGAATGATTCCTTACACAGGTTCCTGAAATCTGTTCTGATTTTAGCTAGCCTCGCGTATGCCGAAGTTGGAATTCTTTTTAGTGGGATTCAGGAGACAGGTTTGGTGTGATATCAACTCCTAGATCTTTCTCTCTGTCCGTTTCATGTAGTACTTCATCTCCCATTCGGTATCCTGTGTCTGGCCTCCTGTGTCCACTGCCTAGTTTCATTACCTTGCATTTACTCGGGTTGAACTTTTGTAGCCATTTGTTGGACCATTAATTCAGTCTAGGTCATCTTGTAACCTCCTAACATCTTCCTCTGTTTTAATCTTCCTCATAATTTTTGCATCAGCAAACATGAGAGGAACGATTCTATACCCTCTGGGAGATCATTTACATATATCGGAAACAGTATAGATCCATGAACTGGACCCTGCGGGACTCCATTGGCGACGTCTCGCCAATTTGAGACCTCTCCCCTCACAGTGACTCGCTGTTTTTTGTTACTTAGGTACTCCCTTATCCAATGGAGTTTCTTCAGATTCACACCAGCCTGCATCTCCAGCTTTTTCACTAGCCTCTTATGTGGTACTGTGTCAAATGCTTTCTGGCAATCCAAAAATATGCAGTCTGCCCTCCCCTCTCTTTCTTGCCTGGTATTTGTTGCATGGTCGTAGAATTCAATTAATCCTGTGAGGCAGGACTTGCCATCTCTGAACCCATGTTGATGCTGTGTTACAAAAATTCTTTCGTTTCAAATATTTCACTTGCTTTTTTCGCACAATCTTCTCCATCAGCTTGCATGGTATGCAAGTTAGGGACACCGGCCTGTAGTTCCGTGCCTCCTGCCTATCCCCTTTCTTGTATATCGGGACTACATTAGCCGTCTTCCAAATTCATTGGTAGAACAATCACTGGGGATGGTTGCTGCCTACATCATCATAAAATATATATATATATAATATATATAATATTATATATATATATATATATATATATATATATATATATATATAATTATTATTATTATATTATTATTATTATATCTATCTCTTGCGTCAAAGACCTATTATTTTACCATTAACTGAGTGGAATATATTCCACAGGTACGGGCGCTGTCGGTCGCGAGCTGCACAAGAAAGGATTCACGTGAGTATAATGGGAAATTGTACTAGACAACTTCTCGACTGAAGTTCTGAATAATTCATTTACATATAACACAGTGGTCAGCGTAGTCGGCTAACAGAAACGTCCTGGGCTCGATTCCCATTTAACATAACTACCTATGAGTTGGCCAACTACTGTTGGTTACAACCTGTGGGAGGTCAGTAGTTGGTATAAGAGGCATCGGTAATCCTGACAGTAGTCCTGTCCCCATCTTGGGGAAGCTAAAATCATATGTCATTTCAAGTCACACAGAGAATGCAATTCTTCTCATCCAAATGTATGAACATAAGATTGAAGGACCATGCCTGGCAGCTGTTATTTATTTCAAACAACTAAAGGTCGTATATTTGTCTCACAAAGAATAGAAACTTTCCAGTGCCTTTGTCTCTCTGATGTTTCACTGTAACTTATTCCACAATATTGCATCTAAATTTCCTAGTCAATGTTCCCTTATTTATATTTGAAATCTAAATTTCTCCAACTAAAATTTATTATTTAGTTATTTTTTAGTAGATATTTTTAACATCTAGTTTATATCCCCTTGTGAAAATCTTTCTTTCACGTGAAAGAAAGCAAAAATAGAGAATTTTCCCATTCTAAAATTATAATACTGAGGAACTTACTAGAGTGTCGTAGTGTTTGAATGAGGGTAAAGGAAACATCCAAAGTATGTGTAATTGTATTTAAAATAAATTTTCAGATTTAATTTAAATTTAGATGCAATATTCCTTTCTCAAGGTGTTGTATACAATATTCTGAAATCAATACTTCTTCGATAATACTCACTGAACCAAATACACTATTTGGTCGAACGTACCAGAGTATACTGTTGGACCTAAACTTTTTCACATTTTGAACCATTAGTTTGATAGTCCGAGAAAAATTAAACATTCTTAGACCTAACATAGTACATATAGGTACTATGTTATGTCTAACATAACATGTAGCCTTACTTGCAGATGTTAGGATAGGTCTTTTAGCTACATTTCTGATTTATTGGAATCACATTTAGGTTAATTCAGTAATACAAAAAGTATTTAGATGATGAGTCGCAATAACGTGGCTTAAAATGATCACACATCACAACAGGCAGACGACGACGTTTTGGTCCGTCCTGCACCATTATCAAGTCGTATCGTGGAAAGAGAGTGGAAGAGATGGACAATATCAGAAAAAAAAATGAAATGAAAGGTGTAATGAATGAAAAAGGAAAGTAATAATAAGTTGAAAGGTAAGAATAAGCTGAAAGAAAACTAGGAAGAAAGGAAAGAATACGAGAAAAAGGTTAGAAAAAAGAAAAGGTAAGAATAAAGACAATAGGTAAATGTTATATGGAAAGGAAGGGAACGGAAGGAAGACGGAAAAGAATAGAAAATAAAGCGTAAATAAGCTAACGTTAAAAAACAAAGGTAAAAGTAATAAAAGAAAAGAAAACTGCAACGATAACTTGGTAACGAAGAGAAAAAATCTAGTAATGAGAAGGAAAGAGAGCCTAGACGGGGCAAAGCTACGTCAGATCACACAATTAGAAATGTAATTATCCAGGACGAACCGAAACGTCGTCGTTTCTTCATTGTCCAATGTGTAATTAGGACGTTATACAAGCGTATATACGGACGTCGCTCTATCAAATATAAACTAAGATTTATTGATCCCTGCCTTAGGGAGGTTTATAGCCATAGATTTAATATAGTTATCACTATATTTAGCTTTCAGTAAATTTGCATTCATTCTAAGAAAGGTTTCCCAGAACACTGGAACTCTTATGAGCAGTGAGTCGATGACCTTTGTCATACACGGTTCTTTATAAGTATGGTGACACAACCTAATGAACAGTGAAACCTTTTGCATCATGAAATCATTAAATTCTGTTCGTTATTAGTAGCTTTAATGCAAATTATAAGACTAAATTAACCGAAAGTGTCTTTCATTACTCAGTCAAGTAATGAAAAATACTCCACTTACTCCACTCCAGTAGTTGATGCATTACATCATTTTCAGTGACTAACCATACACTATTTTTACCTTCTACAGTGATGGTACACATATCTATAAGGTCACCTGCTAGCGGCCGTGGAGTGAGGACGTCTTGCCGACCCTCCGTGGCTGTTGGGGTTGTTTGCCATTTTGGTCGCCAGGTGGTGTGGGCATCTCTGCCCTCCCAGTTTGTTGCCTGCCTGGCTGCGTGTTGACGTGGCAGTTCTGATATGGGTGACCATCTTCCCCCTGTTGTGTGTGTGAACTCCATGGGCCTGGAGTTCACTTGTAAGGCTGGATATACGACCATCGAGATGGTGATGTGTGACATGCATCGTATCCCGGTGGAGGCTATCTATGGTGTAAAGCTTGTTACAGCCCACCGGGTTGTTATTAAGTTCGTGAGGGAGGACGAGTACCGGGACTTCCTCCGTCGGTACGAGGAGCGTACGTTGCCGTTGCCAGATGATGCCGACTCTGTGGCGATTTCGGACCACAGTGGTGCCCTTACTTATGTCAGTGTCCATGGTGCGCCCGTGGAGTTCCCTGAAGACATCCTACGGCGTTATCTCGGGAGGTTTGGTACTGTAGTCAGCGTGCGGGTGAACACGCTCTCCTCGGGGCGGTATGCTGGGAGGCGAACGAACATTCAAACGTCGGGAATGCGCCTGCGGTCGGATATACCTTCTTCTGTCCAGCTTATGGGATACAACGTCTGGGTGTATTATGCCTGACAGCCTCGTACCTGTTTCCTGTGTGGCCTGTTGGGGCATCTGGCTGCCGGGTGCTCTGAGGCCCCAGCTGCTTCTGTCAACTTGTTCCAAGAAGAGGATTTCCCGCCGCTCCCACTGGAGACAGTCTCCGGTGATGATGAGGTGTGCGTCACATTCGCTGCTGCAGCTCCCACGGCGACGTCTGACATTCCTCCGGTTGTTGCCAACCCTCCTCCGGGTATTGCGGTACCGTCGGTTGGTCTGCCTGATCCTGTCACTGTCCAACTGCTCCCATGGGCCTTCCTGGTGGTCCATGTGAGGCGTCTCTGTCTTCTCCCTCGTTTTCCTCATCCTGGCCCTATGTCCGTGACTCGGGGTCCCGGATATGCTGAGTGCTGGGGTGGCTGCTGAGCCTCCTGCTGTGTGTGGCCCGGTTCCCCCTGTGGTAGAGGCTGCTGCCGTTCTGTGTCGGGCTTCGGTTCATCCGGCTCGTGGTACCCGTGTTTCTGGGTCTGCTTCTGCCTCTGACGATATCCGGCCGGTGCCCAAACGTTCCCGGCGTTCGTCTTCTGCCTGGGCCGATGTTAGTGACTTCAGTGACCGTGGGTCTTCGGGTGTTGACAGTGTGGATGCGGATACGTCGATGTCTCCGCAGTTAGTGGTGGCGGAGGTCCATGTGCCTGCTGGTGCTGGTGCCTGTTTCTCGGACGTGCCTTCGGTTCTTTCTCCGCCAGGGGCCTCTTCATAGTGGGGGGAGGTGGCTTCCGCTGCCAGGGGTGGTGTGGACTCTGGTGCTGGGCGTGGTCTGGTGTTGACATTATGGAAGGATGCGCGCAGTCCGGGTTCCCTGCTGTCGTCTGGTGGTGTGCACAGGGCCATGGGTGCCCCTGTGGTGGTGCCCTGTGGCCCATTCGCTCCTGTGAGGGTGCACCTTGGGGACCTGGAGGACGTGTTGCCAGCGTCTGTGATGCCACCGGTCACTGGACGGAGATTGCCAAGTTACTGCTGTCTGACGGACCGGAGAACTTTCTTGGTGGGCAGGTACCCTTCATGTGGGGGCAGGTGGTGGCTACTCGCCTCATGGGTACTACCATCTGGGTTTCCTGCTTGCGGGCGTTTGTTGTCCCGGTTCCGGATATTATGGCGTCCCCGGTGGATGGACGGGACCCTTGGCGGTGGGTGCTCTGGGAAGCGTTCAATGTACGGTTCCCGTGGGCCAGGTTCCCGGGCAAGTATGTCCACTGATTTCCTGTGTATTTCCTACATGAAATGCTGTGTGCCCCTCTGGCTGTTTGTTTGCCCTGTTATATTATGTGCTCGTGCCTCTCCCTTTGCGCGTTTCTTTGCCGTATGGCATATTAGTTTCTAGTGCTTGGCGTCACTCGTTTCGCGTTTTGGCTTGGCGTTTCGCCTTTCCTGGCTTTGTGATTCACCCTTAACGGGTACGCCGGGGCGCATCCGATCCCATGATCGTCGTCGCCCCTAACTCAACAACAACAACAACAACAACACATATCTATAACATTAGGCAACTGTCAGGTGATGACTCTCTGTTTGTCACTCGTACATCTCCAGCATCTTTATATTTGTCAAATAATTTGTATGGATAATTATTCTGCAGTTCAACAGAAATAATATATTTTGTCTGAACAATTGATTTTGTATTCACTGGAAAAAAATTTGTGGCACTATAGACACAAATATTTCATATATAAACTCTTATATTTCGTAATTAAAATGTAAATTAAAGATTTTTGTCTTGAAAGTTAGAAACCGTAACCTTCCAGGAACATAGATGCCCTGGATCCCTCAGAAGGAATGCTGAACGTTCTAAGAAACAAAGGAGTGTACAACCTTACGTATCAGGAGTTCATAACCCAGAACCCGACAACTATTCCTCAAGGTGATAACACATCCTCGTCCTCATGTTTAATGCTTTAGGCAATAAGTAACAAAATCTAGTGTATGGAACTCTTAGTGTCGTCACTTCTGCAATATAAAGTAAATGGAAAAATCCATAGGAGCCCTGAAGAGGATTTGAGTCTATGTGATGGGTGTGCCCCACGCACACGCCCTAGTCAACTAGGCCACAGCATGGTCAAAAGAATTGCAACCTGGAGATGAACTAAACTTACAAGGGTTTTCTGAGGCATCTACTGAAACTGTACCAGGATTTTTACACATTTACCCCATGCACTCTGGCTCTGTCATCCAGGAATGTTCTTCTGATACTCCTCTTTCAAGACTCTCCTAGATGACACAGAGTGCATGGGGTGGATGGATTGTGTGAAAATCCTGGTCCGGCTTCAGTGGAAGCCTCAGGAAACCCTTGTGAGCTCAGTAGAACTCCAGGGTTGCAGTTCTTTAGACCATGTCGTAGACTAGTTGACTAGGGCGTGTGTGTGGGAACACCCACCGCATAGGTTCGAATCCTCATAACAGTTCCAACGAGTGTTCTCATTGACACATCACATTACTGTGATTACACTGTGTATAAGGTAAATGCTAATATATGTATAAATACTTACCTCCTACCTCACATCCATGTACCTAGACCTAATTACCAAAGCTAATCTACATAAATATAATTGTAAATGTTTGTTTTGTTCAAAATCGCTAATCTCCGAATGTTCACTGATTTCTTTGAAATTTTGACACACGTTTGCATTCGAATATGCGCTTGTTTTTGTATACCTACTATTAAGATGTGAAACCTGTGACAGGTAAAACAATGTATTTTTTAAGCTGTGTTTTTCAAGGTTGGGAATGATGAGTAGGACGAGGGGATGGGGAATGGTAGGGAGCACAAAGGAAACGGGGGGGATGGTTGGAAAGACTAAGGGGATGGGGGAGTGGGGAATGATTGGGAGGATGAAGGGATGTGGGAGAAGGGAATGGTGGGGAGGACGGGGGAATGGGGAAGGGTTGCTGTGGCTCAACAACGCCCACGAGTTCCTGAGACTCCTTGACAACTGCTCAACTAGTCAACCTGTCCTCTTCCCCACCCACATAGACTTGTTCAGCTGAAGGCATAGTGTTAGGTTCCGCTTTAGTAAACAGAGATAAAACATTTATTAAAAATGCTACTCAAATCTTTGTCGTTATCTGACCTCTCTCAGCTTTTAATGAACCAATCCTTTCTGTGAGATTTTTGTCTACGCCTACCTCCCTTAGGAGGTGGACTACAAGTTTAAAGTCTGTTCACGGCAGTTAAGCATGAGTCCAGTAGAAAAAGGAAAAGCGGGAGCAAACCACCAGGCCTCCACCACCAGGGGTGAAAACCTGTCCACAATTGGCCACTGGCTCCTCCTAGTTAAACAGGACGTTAAAACTAATAAAGGGTAACCGACGGGTTCTCACAATCAAATATTTATATTTGATGTGGCGCTATGAATTGGAATTCGAATTCCCAAGAACAGCCGCCTTATCAAGATCACATCAACACTTAATAATATGCAGAAATATGGTGGAATAATATGGTTGAAGGGTTGACATCAAAGACCGTTTTCTATAACATAACAATTTATTAATAACAAGAGACTAACTACTACATTACCGAGTTTACGTTACGTTAATGTCCATACAGTGGCACGATAACAAACAGCTAAATAGCAACCCTTGCTGTGAGGCTGCATACTGAACTAACCTGAACACAGGTGTGCCCACTGATGACGCAATATTGCAAATCAAAGAAAAATATCACAGACTAAGTTACACCACAGCGAATGGTTACGTTATTGTACATCAAGTGGCATTTGCAACACAGCTATTCAACAGCCCCTCGAGAAGTGACAGCAGGCTCCATCTTGCTGACACTTCGGGCTGACAACATGAACTAACTGAACAAATGAAGGATATTCACTGAAGACAAAGACACAAGCCGGCAATCAATAGTGTCTCGGTTTCCCTGACAGCTACTATAATCACAAACTTAGGGGTCCTCCCGCCCCCCAAGAGAGACCCACGTAACTAGGAGGGTAGTCCAACAGTGACCCCCCCCCCGCTATCACAACCCAGTGTGAACACTCTTTGCAACTCCCTACAAGAAGTTGCACTGTTGTAAACAGTAACAAAGACAGGCAACGCGGGATTCTGGGACACAGCTCCACAGATCCCTAGATGACTCTACTCTCGTCACCAGACGACAACCAAAAGAAATTGCCTTAAGTGATTAATTACGTTAATTGACTGATCGCAGCAGTCAGCAACAAAGTACTACGGTAATCACAAACAATTGTCTCCCACTAGACAACAACATGATGATACTCTACGTTAATCTTTAACACTTGTCTCTCTCTTGTTAACACTAACTCAACATATATTACATCACACTTGACTCCTTGCAAGTATTCAGTGAGTAATTCTCAATTAAGGTCAAACGGACCACTAATTACATCCCCATTGAGTTACGTTAACTAAGCCTACCCTAACTTGGTAGCTTCTCCACAGTCTGTGTCAAAAAATTACTAGTGAGTATTAATTACCCTAATTAAGTCCCTAATAACTTCTGACCAATTAATTAACTGTCACCAGGACCGATAATTAATCATCCATAAATACGTCTCACTCCGCACTGCCTAAGCAGGTCTCATCAAACACTGTGAATTCACGGGAAAGGAGTTAATTACCCTAATTAACAAGATTTGCCACTAATCCACTGTCCTCAGACAGGATATGATTAATACAACGATTTATGCTAGCTCCATGACCTCGCTTTACCGAGTCATCAGAGCTCTCCAATGTTAATTACTCCACTAATTAACCTGAGCCACTAATTGCTATACCCCAGAAAGGTAATTTGTCTCGAGCATATTACGTTAACACAAATACTGACAGACTCTGACAGATCCTCTCCCACTACGTGAATTCATGATGAGAAGGCTAATTACATAATTAGCTAGAGTGGTCAATTAGTTGTCACATGGACAATTAATTGCTCCCGAGACGTATCTCACTCTAGCTCAACACTGTTTTCTCTCATAACAGCCCTCACTCACTCCACAATACTATGTGTGCACCCCTTATCCAGTTAATTACCCCTTACTTAATTAACTCACTGAATCCTTAAGTCCTCAACCCAACTTAAAGAAACAAAGTAACCCCAGCGTTACATAGGTCACACTACAATGGCATGCAACATCATAAAAGCACTGCCCACATATGGTTGCGGCTACTGCAACTCGCTAATTACTGTGCCCACACAATAATGACACATGGTTGTGCAACACACAAAAGTATACTAATATTACTGCCCCCCCCCTTTTCTTGCACCCGATTGCAAAGGACTACTGTGAACACACACCTCAGCAAGGCAATTAACCCATCAATTGCCTGATCTCATTAAGTACTGTGAATTCCCCTAAATAATCCTAGAGGTCCCTTAAACCCTCAACACAGTTCCTGGGGCAATAATATTGTATAAACTGAAACAATACTGCACAAACCTGCAACATAATGATGCCATCAGCATACCCCACATGCTAATGACATCATTAGGCAATCAGTCAGCAATCACATCTACTGACTTACCACACAACACAGTACATAAACATGCAAATGAACACATAGAAATGGCATTTACATTATCAATGAAAATTATATCATCAAGTAAATGTAACTAATTACCTCTAATGATTATAATTTACGGTACTCTATGGCATTAATCCAGTCTGAACGATTATATAGAATCGACAAGCTGGATCACTTATATGGTAAATCTCTACACTGACCGGTTACATACTCTAGTCAGTCTACTATATATATACATTCTGATACTACAGTGTGGTCCCGTGTATAATATTTATCTCCAGGTACCGCCCTATCAATCCTGGACCCTACTGACAGCTGTCACTCAGTTGCTTCTCTCGCCTGGCGAGGCTCTGAGACAAGTCTTACTGTGAATTTCCACCGGTATGCATCACACTGTAATAGTACTCATTTCTACTGCCCTCTTTCCCTTATTTTTTCCTCATTTCCCAAGTCACTACCACACTAGCTGACATCACTTAGCTTGCTTGCTCCTCATGCGTCGACAAGATGTGGCCCTAGGCTGTCCCGGGAAAGTGGCCAAGGCATGTAGCCACCGCGTGGCCCACAGCGCCCCTCCCGAGCTGAGAGGGTGGGTGGGGTTTGGCCGCGCGGGCAGGCGGGTGGGGTGGCCGTGCCATGCGGCCGGACCATGCGGCGGGTGGCCTGGGTGGCCCCCCCCCCAGGCATACACACGTGGTTGAGGAATCGCCCACAACTTCAGCACACCTGAGCCTGCCTTGCTCTACACTCGGGTGACAATGGCCGGCGGCGTCACCACCGGGCGGACCAACAGGGTGGAATTCAAAGTCCCACAGGGGCCTGTAATCTTACCATGATTACACTAGGAGGCCCTGTCTGATTTCCGCTAATTGTCTAACCACACTAGACAGGTTATTCAAACCACCTGTTACACCATGAGGCTCAGCCAGCTGCCTCCTGGTGAACACTGTCAACTGTCTCTTTTAGCTTTTTACTGTTCCTTCCGTAAATCGTCGGCCCTCGAACTTCACGAAAATTGGGCCTAGACACAACCAGGGATAGCAAGAGTGCCATCCCTGCTAGTTAACACGGTAACGTCCGCGATTAACGGGGGTGGAGGGGGAAAACTCCCCCCCTCCACCCAGACACGTCCTAGTCCACCTGCTACCCTGCTCAGGCTGACGATTTCCCGCGCTAGGGAAACTCAAAATGCCCATACCTTCTCCCTACCTTGTCTTGACCAATCAGCCTGGAGCCAGCACGGCTCCCTCGTGCCGCATCCAACCATAGCTCTTCACGCCAAAACTAGGCTTGGAGCACACATGCCTAAACCAATCAGGCTCACTCACCCTCGAGCGTCCTGTGACGTCACAAGGAGGGTGAGGCCTAAGGAGA